AATGAACCAATTGTAAACAGTGCGGGTTTCGTATCGTCATGATAACATCAATGCAACTTGGTGACACAATTGTGCGTCTGCGATGTCATCACGAATATGGTACCACGGATTGCATACTTTGTCAACATAATAATAATAATAATTTATTTACTTACAATTAAGGTATTATATACTTTCTGGAACAAGTAAGTTTTCAAATGATCTACAAACTCAAAACGCTACTTACTTTCAATTTGCATGTTATGTTGCGAACATGCAGCAAACGCTAAACGTCTTTCACTTGGAAGTATATAGTAGTTTGAAGATGAGCTCATTTTGGCAATTTACTTTTGAGACTTGCCGTGAAGGATTTTGTTAACTGACCACAGCACTTGATATACAACCTTAGTCTAACAGTTCGTAGCTCCTGAAGGTTCCAGTTAATTTGAAAATTGAAAATTGCTCAGTTGTTATGGCAGAAATCCAAGATAATATCTATAATTGTACGATGGATAATGTTGGCTGGATAATGGATAATAATTTGTTTAGACACATTTTCTGATTTGAAATAAAAAAAAAAACGACGCACATATTAAAAATAAAATGATATAACACCTAGCTAATAAGACTTAGTTTAAAAGTTTTAAAAATTCCCACTCAAAAACATGATCTGACAGAAATTAAAGTATTATCCACTTCGACGGAAATCAAATTTAATTTGTTGATTTTCCGAGGCTTTCCAAAAACTAAAATAACAATAACACAATTATTCAATTCCCTAACAAAATCCTCAATAATTATTCTGACTTGAATCATCTACACTGGCATGCCACGTGTTTCATCGGCGTGGAGACAAAGAAATAAATACTATGATTTTCTATAAAATCAACTAGCGAGAAAGTATACGAGCTAAGTTAGAGTGACCCTGTAACACACGGAACCTTGAAAAGACGATATTTTAAGTTTGACCCTGACAGAAATGTACTGGTATCTACTCTTCGATATGACCTGAAAGTAGAACCTCCCTGGAATACCGAGATCGTTACTATGTACCTACAGTAAATGTATAAAAAAAAAGCCATGCGATATTTTAAAATGGTTCGTACGAATATATAATTTCTATGATCGTATACATATTTGATCACGTGATATTTGACTCAATATAGTTGAAGCAAGACAATATCATTTGAAAAACTACGATCTTATGGGTTGATTTGAAGAAAAACGAAAATGCATGTATATAAACATATTTGGAAAGAAAACAGTTGAATGTAAACTATTAATGTGGTAACAAAAAATATGTTGTAATACCCCGTCGTAATAGACCATTTTCCGTTCACTGCGAGAATCACGCGTTATGCGTGAAATCGAACGTAAAAACAGGACAAACAAAGGTCATAGCGTCGTAGTCGCGTCAAACATCGCGTGGGATTCGACAAACGCGAAAGTATTTCGGGGACATTTCCATGCTTAATAATGTGCTGTCCACATTTGATGATAGGCAATTTCGATTAAGTAAGGGTATTCGGAAGCAATATTCCTCTGTCGAAGATCGGCCGGCCAATGTAAGCTACGAAATAAAGAAATTCTAGTTCAAAATCAAATCGTTCGATTTTTGCGGCAGACGTTCGACGCGCGTCTTTCATGCATCTCGCGAGATCTCGCAATTGTACGGAAAATCATCTATTAACATCACACAAACTTTCCGTTTTTGTGTTTTACTCGCTCCAGTGTCGATGCGTCTTATTCTGTGAACTCTAACGAAAAACAAATGGACAGAACAAATCTAACTAATTTGTCTATAATCCTTCAGTAAAAAGTTTATAGTACCGGTGACTTATGAATCAGTGTTCAAATTACGTTACGGGAATTACAATGATCGTATAAACTTGTATAATTGTGTACAGTTTATTCAGGCACATTGCTTTTGGCGTGGTAGCTCTGGGAGGGAAGATCGCAAAACAAAACTATGCAAATTATTTTTTCTGAATGATATTTTTCAGGCTGATGTTGATATTTTATCAATATATTTTTTTTCTCTGCAATAATCAACCCCATTGTTTTACGTCGTATATAACCTTGACATAAACGTCAACCCAGGCGCAGATCACACGTAATGGCGGTTCAAGTTCAAAAACGTGTTAGAGATTTTATTTCAATGAAACATGATGCCTAGAGAGTGCTAAAGTGTGCCCTGTCTCTGTTCATACGTCAGTTCAAATCACCAACGCTGTCATATGGCATGCGAAGGTGTCATTAATCTTGCGACACCGTATTCTGAATTATGCCGATCATAGGCTGTTCTGTAGGCGAGAGTTCGTATGATTTATTTCACCACGAAAGAAAAATAGCTTTTTATATACCATTATACGTCTATCAACTTTCACCAACTTTCGTCTAGGCTTTCGATCTTGACGATTGTTAACCATTAGGGTCACGACTCTTATATGATTAGGCGAGATTTGCAGACGAATGCTTCTCTCTGTTCCGTGATTATGCCCAAATGAGACACGCCAATGTCGGATATACCAGGCTAAGTAGGGTTAGACTCACCCTCTAGTGAGGGGAAAGTTGCTGTATTTTACCTGACCTTTACTCTAACGCGGCGGGTCAAGACAACCTTGAATAGCATGGTCCAATCCTGGCGACCTAATTATAATAAAACACAACTAGCCGTTTGACGTATTTTGGTGGCCACAACCAGCCGATTCTGTTAAAGCTTTGTCAATGTCTTGTGCTCATAAAAGGAGTTCTGATAACACGGGTACTGACACTGCAGCAGTTGATCTAATATGTCAGCGGCAACTCCACCTAGCGAGCATCCGTATACCGGTGAAGAGTATGGACCGATCACGGAGAGTTACCTCACCGGACCAAACTTTACAGCTAATTTCACTGTGGACTTCGGAAACTTCACAATAAATGCACCAAGATTGGATCCAAGAACTGAGGCAATGAAAAAGGGAAACGACATCATGATGATGACTGTGTTAGTGATCATCATGGTTGGTATGGGCTGCACCATAGTCCCGAGGGACCTGTTAAAGCCTGTACGTCGCCCCTTGCCAATGGTAGTATGTTTCTTCGCCCAGTTTGTTGTCATGCCTCTTCTAACTTTCGGGCTTTGTCACGCCCTGGGCACGTCTCCCAATCAGTCGCTGGGCGCCATAGTTATAGCATCGTCGCCAGGTGGTCCGGCTGCAAATTTATTCACCTTAGTTTCTGGTGGTGACATTGCATTAAGGTGAGTATGCATTATTCATTACAAATTTAAGCTTCGATTGTACGCAATCAATTGTACGCAATCAATCAAGTGTGTACAAACACACATCTCGATTGTTGTTCTCATTGTTCAAGAACTGTACTTCAATCATTGTCATGACGCCACAACGCCCTCTTTCCAATAACACTGGCACAAAATATTGCACCATGACGATGCAATAATCAGAGGGGACACGTACTAATGGATGCGAATACACCTATATTACTTACATATACTCAATTGTATTTACAAATGCGGTAATGCATGACAATATAAATAGCAAAAACACAAGACATTTATGAGATATTGATATTTTTAAGTTATTGCTATTTTGCTGAGAGAAAAGCTACACCAAAATAACACAATGCAAATAATACTAGTACATGAATTGTCTTGTATGCATTGTCAGTGTTTATTAATACGATGTCCAAACAGCAACAAGTAATTTTCCAAGTAGATTTGTATACTAGGAAGAACCTTATAAATATTGTAAGTTATTTATGTGTTTAATCAACTGTTGGTTGCAATCGGTGCAATTGTACGTCACGGGTGTAATACTGATCATGATTAACGGCATAATATATCTAATTAATGTAATATTGTACCTATTTATGTAAAATAAATTATTCTACTTCATGTAAAATGAATGATTGATGTAACAATATAGCCTATTGGTGTAATGATACCCCTCACTGGTGTGATATTGCACCTCGTTCTTGTAATAATGCACCTTAATGGTCTAATAATATACCTCACCGGTTCAATAATGCACCTCATTGTTGTAATAATATACCTCACTGGTGTAATAATGTATCTCGTTGGTATAATAATGAACCTCGTTGGTGTAGTAATATACCTCACTGAAACAATAATGTACCTCGTTGGTGTAATGATGTACCTCCGGGTATAATAATACACCTCGTTGGTGTAATAATGCATCAGGTTGGTGTAATAATGCACTTTATTTGTGTAATAACATACCTCACCGGTGCAATAATGTACCTCGTTAGTGCAATAATGTAGCTCGTCGGTGTAATGATGTACCTCTCGGGTATAATAATACACCTCGTTGGGGTAATAATGCACTTCATTGGTGTAATAATGCACTTTATTAGTGTAATAACATACCTCACCGGTGCAATAATGTACCTCGTTAGTGCAATAATGTAGCTCGTCAGTGTAATGATGTACCTCACGGGTATAATAATACACCTCGTTGGTGTAATAATGCACTTCATTGGTGTAATAATACACCTCGTTGGTGTAATAATGCACTTCATTGGTGTAATAATGCACTTTATTGGTGTAATAACATACCTCACAGGTGCAATAATGTACCTCGTTGATACAATAGTGCTCCTAGTTGGTGCAATAATGTACCTTATTTGTGTAATAATATACCTCACTGGTACAATAGTGTACCTTGTTGGTGTAATAATGTACCTTGAGAGGTGTAATAATGTACTTCGTTGGTGTGTTAATGCACCTCGTTGGTGCAATAATGTATTTAATGTGTCACATACACGAAATCAATCCTGTTTTTTAAATATATATACAAATTGAGTGCAAGAAATATACATACAACTGTTCAATATTTCCTTTTATTTCACAGTCTATTTTTAGCATGTGCTTCAACCCTTATATCAATGGGACTACTGCCGTTATGTATGTTCATCTTCACAAGAAGTTGGACTTCAGACAACGCCGTCATACCTTTTAAAAACATCGCTATTGCTCTCATCTTCGTTACAGCGCCACCAATATTCGGGATGTTATTACGATGGAAGAGTTTAAAGTGGTCGATGATTTATGGCAAGGTGGGTACCCAGCGGACTCAATGTGAATTACCATTACTAAGAACAATTCTCCCAAGCAGTCTTGCTTATCTGTATGTTGCCAATGGCAACTAGAATTTGACTGTCATTGACTGTAGGTGATTTGTGACTCCTTGAGTCTTTGCGATTAGTTTGTCTGTGTGTATGTATATATGTGTGTGTCCACTAATATTGCAAAAACCAATTGTCAATGAATTTCAATGAAACTTGATACATAGATGTACTTGGATAATGCGCAGACCTGATAAGTTTTTGGTTGCAATCCGTGCATATGGATGACATAATTTGCATATTAACTAGCCAATTTCAAGCTGTTTCACTCTTCTTTCAAGAACTACCCAACAGATTTCAATAGAGTCCCATATCTAACAGGACGCTCCTCGACGGCCACCACCCTTTAAATCCGCTGTCGGCTGACCTTAACTAACTGTTCGTAGTATGGTTTCAGGCGTTAATATTTGAATTGATTCCATATTTGGTATGTAGCTGCCTTGGGTGACCTCGTTTCTATATTGGAGACGACCAATGATAAAAAATCTACTAATTTTTTCGCTGGTGGCAGCCTGCAACAAACCTCGGCGTTGCCTGTCATTCTTTTTCACATTGGAATTCACATCGCTGACAACTACATAAATCACAAAATGTTTATAAACTGGTGTCGATGGCAAGTTTTGTTTTATCCCGCCCTTTCTTGTGCGCTGTGCCGGGTCACATTTCTGGATTCTGTGATAATCTCTAGTCATTCGATTGCATGCAAAATATCCATCTGTTGCAAGGGGCAGTCCATCGGACGTCTATATATAATGGACGATACTTTTTCATATTCTCCCGTCTGATCCAAGGATTTTATCCTTACAGATTGCTGGCATCATAGGCATGGTCGGAATAGTAGTAAACGTGATTCTTATGTGCCTAATTAGTCCAGGCACTTTAGTGAGTTCGTGGGAATCTTATATAATTGGAGTTGGACTACCAATGGTCGCCTTCGCCTCGGGATACTTCGGATGCCGGGTACTGAAACAAAAAAACTCTGTACGCAACGCAGTTGGTTTTAACGCGTGTATGAAGAACGTGCCAGTGACGGTTACATTGATATCACTGTCTTTCGGGACTGCCGAATTTGGCGAACTGATGACGATACCGCTTATTTACGGAATCTCTAGTCTCGGACTCGGCATGGTGTTGAGCGTCATAATCAAGAGGGTTTGCCCACCGGCAACGAGTGAGAAAGAGAAACTAGAAGAACATTACGACACAGAAGATGAAACGGTGCTTATTTTCGAGTGGATTACAGTCATGTGATAAGTCATGTTCACTGATATCACGAAGCGTGTGCCCAGTGGGTAAATCACGTTGAAACAACGTCAAAT